CCGAGCGGCTTTGCTGCCCCAGCGAGCAGCTGCGACCCCGAGGTGCAGGGGCTGCAGCCCGCCGGAGCGGCCTTCACCTCTGCTCGCAGGAGTGGGTAAGTCCCAGTGCAGACAGGCTGTACTAGGAAGGAGGCTGCCTGGTTTGCTCCTGGTCTGCAAGGACAGAGACATTCAAGCCTCCCCTGAGGGTCGGGTGCCTTCCGATGCCTATAGGGAAAAGCACCACGTGGTTTTATTGGTGGGAATTGTCCCAGGAAGGGTTCATGACCATTAAGTGCAGGTTACTGCAGCTGATTTCACCTCTGTTCCCAGGAGGAGAAAGTGTGCATCCTAGAGAAGGATGGGCCAGAGCGAAGAGAAGCCCTGGCTGTGATGAATCACACCGAATGCTGCTGCCGCCTTGTTTTGCCCAAACATCTCTTGGATGTGACTGAAGCTTCAACTTTGGCACTGAGGTGGTTGCTTGGACCTTACACTGTGGACACCTGAAGTTAGGTGAGATGAATTCCCCTACAAGATTGTGATCTGGGAAAAAAGGACAAGTATGTCCAATGCAGAGTATTTCAAATATGGAAATGTGTTTAAAGAAAACACCAATAAATGACTAAAAGATGAGGAGGAAAGCACTGCAGATTAATCTGCCTGTGATAAGTAAGATTTTGGCTTAAGATTTGTGCTCTAATACTTCTTCCCTTTTTTTTTTTTTTTGTCTAATTTTGAGGTTGTGTGTTGCATTGTTTCAGTTGGAAATATTTGGATGCCCTAGTCTGAAAACCATACTAGATACATTTGAGGGACTTATATATAGACATTTTAGAATTTCTAATGTGTTCTTAATGTATTATTGTACTGAGATTAATATCTACATGTTTTAGTTTTTTTTTCCAGTTGGAATGAGTAAGTACTAACAACACCTAAAGCTGTAATGTATCTGATATCCATTGTCCTGTTTCTCTCATAATGCTAAAGCTGAAAGTACAAGTTTTGTTCACACCTCACTTGAAAAAAAAAAAAAAGCTTCTTTGTCTTTAATCACATGAAAAAACTAATCTCTTTTTGTGTTTGTCATGGGGTCAGGGAGTTCCATCAGGCTATGGGATACTGCTAAGCTGAATTCACCAAGTGGCCCGATGGAGGAAGAGCCTGTCAGGGAGAATGTGACACATGCACAGAATGAACCTTGGTACATATGGGCTATGGATGTGGCAGAAGAACAATGCCCAGAAGTATTCACAAGCTGTAATATTATGTGTCCCTCATCTACTATTCTAGTGAGTTCATGTGGTCTCACCCGAGGGAAAACACAACACTCAATGCTGACTTGCTCTGCATCAGGCTCTGGGCAGTAGTTCAGCACTAACCCATCCTATTACACCTTGTGTCCTCATTGTTTTTATATCTGTGTAGTGATGTTTCCCTATGGTCTGCTTTATTGTGGAGTTTTAAAGCTCACCTAGCTAGGTTTTCCACATGAAACACCTTTCACACATGCACTCATACTTAAAAATAACAACGTACACTGCACGTAGCTTAAGCATGTATTGTAACTTGTCACACACTAACAAATAGGAAGTCAGCCAGCATTGGGTCCCAATACTACTAACTTTTACAAAAGGAGTTTTTTATTAATCATCTTGTTCTCAAGGAAGTTTCTGGACCATTCAGTTGCTCAAGATACCACTCAAACTACACATGCTTTTGTCAGACCCTACAGCTTGACCAGAATGCAGGAGCTGAACTGCAGGTGCCCTCTGTCCTCCAGCCCAAGGCACACTGCACGTATGGACCCTTGAAGTACCATGCTGTTGGAGCATCTCCTGGCTCTCCTAGCACTGCCCAGCAAGGCTCACCTGCATCCCCCACCATGAGGGACAGGCTTTGCAGGGGAAAGCTTTACTCACACTTTATCTACAGTTAACAGAGACCTGTCTCAGTTACCATGCCTGTGAGTCAGCACAGCACAGCCTGGAGGAATGCAACACTTGGTCCACCAGTGGGAACATCAGGTTCTGGCAGCAGCTCAGTGTTAACACTTAACAGTTCCACCTTGCACCCTCTGCTTCTGTACAGTATCAGACACCTGCTTCATGCAGTCTCCCCTCTCCCTGAGTCAGTTATTCTGGGTTTTTAATAGCCAGACGTCAACACAAGCTACCAAGCAAGTCAGTCCACAGTCGTAGCACTGTACAGCTTTCCAGCAGTTTCAGGTGTTGGTCTCCTCTTGCTTGTTGATCCACAGTCCATCCCAAGGCTTGTCATACTTGACTGTTCTTGCCAGTATTGGTCAACCAAAGCTTATTATAGCAAGTTATTCAGCTTCTGATCAAGACAAGATATTAATCCCATGTCATCATTTACAGCTGAATGTGGATGATGGTTTCCAATGACACTGTTGATGCAAGTGGCTCAACTTGTAAATTTTTCACATTAGAACTTCCAAACCAGCAGTAATCTAAACATTTTTTATTTTGTATAAGAATGAAATTGCACACTAATCTGACCAGTTTTGGCCTGTAAAAGACAACTGAGATAATGCACTGTATGACTTGGTGTGCATCTGTAGGTTAGGTCTGCACATTTCCTCCATTTATTCTTCTTTCCCAGGAAGCTTTGAGCTGTGCTCTAGAAGCAAAGTTAATTGTTGTCTTTTATCTTCAGGCAGTGATTATATAGCTCAGTCTCTCAGGATGGATCTTTCCTCTGTGCTCATGTATCCTTACCCTGCAGCCTTAAGTGGTGTTAATGCAAGACAGAAATAAAAAAAAACAAAAAACAAAAACCAACCAAAAAAAGCACACCAACCCAGTTGCTAGTTCATTCTTCCCATTTTATACTTTGCTATTTCAGCCATGCAGACACTCATCTAATGAGTAAAGAATTATTATAGTCCATATTTTGTTCTTCAGAACAATTTTACTATTTCCTTCCACCAAAGAAGAAAAACCCCAAACAAAGTAACTGAATACACAGACTATGCCTTTGCTGGCAGGGGAGATACAGGGTGCAGGCTATGTAGTGGACAACTGCAGCCAACAGTAGCAGCTCATTAGACCCCAGAGGCCTGCAGGAGGGAAGGCTAAAACCACCTTCAGTATTCTGCATTGAAAGGGTACTCCTTGTGATTTTTGCACCTGGAGGAAATCAAAGAAGAAAGATTACTCTCAAGGTTGAAATAAATGCTATACAGAACTACACTGGGTATACAGAGGAGCCTTCAAGGGAGGCTCTGAATTGTGTAAGTGCAGAAGGAATTTAAGACACTTACTAGGATTGGAATGGCATACATGACTAGCACATTCAAGTCTTTTCCTATTATTCAGGCACTGAACAGTGGCAGCATCAAGCTACTTTATAGATAGAGAGTTAGGTTCACACTACTTGCAGAGAAAACAGCAGCTTCTGTGGCCTTTCAGCCACGACTTCTTGTCTTGCCATAAGCTTCCAAGGTGCACATCTGCCCACAGTCCTTCTGCATACTGCACTTCAGATGGTCATTCCCTCCCCCAAACACCTATGTAAGAGCTGACAGCAGTTGATAATAACTCAGAAAAAAAAAATTACCCTAAGTTTAAAACTGCCTAATGCTAATTTCTCCAATATGGAGATAGCCAAAGTTAAACTGAAACCCTCCTTTTGGAATTCCTGGCACATGAAGTTTACTGGAAAAAGGATTCGCAATGAATACATAGTATGGCTTGTTCTTTAGTCAATAAAATGAAGACATAATTTGTTTAAGATGTTAAATAATAGATGCTTCATCCCCCAAATGATTTCAGATTTAAAAATACACCAAATTTAAACGGCTATATCAGTACCTGTGAGATCAGAATAAAGATTACTGGAAATATAAGAGTTCTAAGGAAACAAACTGTCACTTACGTGATCATTTCACAGATCCTCCAGTTTCTGTTTAAGCTGAGGAGGGCGGACATCTCCTCTTTAGTCAATTCAAAGTCAAACACCTAAAACGAGAAACATCTGGAAATCACCTCTTTGAACAAATCATATCAGAAGCAAAACTCACAAAGTTTAAGAATAGAAATGGTGCTGGTTAGAAGTTATGCCCTCATGAGACAAAGAAAGGAATAGTTTTTTTTTTTTGTTTATTTGGCTTTGCTTTTCAGACTCTACTGGCAGAAGGAAGAAGCAAACCAAAGAGATTGCCAGTTGCAGCTACATGTGCCACGTGCCAGACGTTCCAAGATGTTTGGTGAGTACCTTAGTATTGCAAAATGCCTCCCTTTGTGGAAGATGCATTTCCTTCCAATTCCAAAGAAACACCTGAAGGCTTTCATATTTCATTAAATCCAACTGTTACTTCTGAAATCTTGATGTCAAATGTAAAGAAAAACACCTCTGACCTATAGTCAGAGGAGCTGTGTGGTTTATTTACATCAGGACTCTTCCCTCAATGTTGTTTACTCTGTATTTTGAGAAAGATTACTGCACCTAGGCTCCAAGACAGCCCTGCCTGCCACTTCATCCACAAGTCACAGAGCAGAAGACACTATGTAAGGTGACTGATAAGGTTATCAGCATGCTGCTTCCAAGAGCTCACTCTTTTCTCCAGCTGTCGGTTTCATTGCAGCCCTATCTTCCAGACAGGGAGAAAAAGCACGGTCCTCTTCTCTGAGGACCACCAGGGAAGGGTGAGAAGGGACCACTGCTGCTGGGCAGGGGAAGGCACGCTGTCCCTGAAGGGAAGGGCAGCACCCAGGTCCCTCCTAAGCACTCACCTTGAAGTTCTCCACGATGCGCTGCGGTGTGACAGACTTGGGAATGGCAATCACGTTTCTCTGGATCTGGAAGCGAAGCAGAACCTGCAGGAATCGAGCAGGGAGTCAGAGGGAGGGAGCTCCTGCTCTGGAGGGAGCAGAGCCTGTTCCAACAGTGTTTTCCCTAGGCTGTACCAGCTTCTGCAGAGCTGCATGTCAAACCATTCCTGTCCCTGTGGCCCAGGCAGCGCTTCCTGGAGAACCAGGAGAGAAGTAGTGGAGACCTACATGAAAGGCCTCCTTTGTCATCTAGTTTTGGGACTGTCAATCCCTTTTCTTTTCACCTGGGCTTTTATGAGTTCATGCAAGGCTTTCATTTTCTGCAAGAGGACTTGAGATGGGAAGTGACATCTGAAGATGGGTCAAGAATCTTTTTCTGGCTGAGGGCCAAAGACGTAGTGGTAGATTATCTTGTAGGCCACAGATAAGAGCGCCACAGCTCCCAGGGAACACCAGTAAAGGCTGTACCCCCTCTTCCTTCATGGATGTGTTATTGGAAGGAACACCCACTGCTCAGCACTACCCACCTGTGCTGGGGTTTTGTTGTGCTTGGCTGCAATCTCTTTGATCTTAGGATCATCCAGAAGGGAAGGCACCTCTGGCTTAGCACTATGCAGAGGGGGAAAAAACAAACACAAAGGAAGAGCAGAGAATCACTCCAGAAAGTCTACCTAGCAGGAATTAAAAAAACTTTTCCCGCTCCTCAGCTCTGTTATCCTTTATGGCTGTGTTACTGGAAGAAAACCCCTCTGTGCTGCACCTACCCACCTGTGCTGGGGTTTTGTTGTGCTTGGCTGCAATCTCTTTGATCTTAGGATCATCCAGAAGGGAAGGCACCTCTGGCTTAGCACTATGCAGAGGGGGAAAAAACAAACACAAAGGAAGAGCAGAGAATCACTCCAGAAAGTCTACCTAGCAGGAATTAAAAAATAATAATGATATCCATACACACCTGCACCATTAGTCCTTTAAGTAGACTGAAGGTTTCACACTTAAACCACACCAACCCACTTGGAAATTACCTGTCAGGGCGTCCAAGGGGACAGTACGCTGTCACAGTGATCCCTTTAGATTGGCAATAGTTGATCAGCTTCTCCTGGGAAAGGTATGGATGACACTCAATCTGCCAACAGAGGAGCAGAGACTGACCATTGTAGAATTACTGTAGTATTCCTGTGCTCCAGAGATTTTTTTTCCCTGAATCTTAATTGCCTAATTACAGGCAGCCTTTTTCCTACCTGCACGTGGGCTGTGTGACAACACAAAAACATAATTCTGTAGGGCACCAACTTTTATGTGTCTTTATGTGCCTTTGGATTTTCTTTCTGGGAGGCTTTATGGATGTCAGTGATTACAGTCAGAAAGACAGCTTGTGTCTGGATTCTTAATCACTCTAAAGAGAATTCTTCATACCAAAATATCCTAGAATTTTTAAGACATGGTTCAGCAATGTGAGATGAAAAGGAAATATTGTGGTCCTTTTTGTACTGAGAAATATTCACAGAGCAGGCTTTAGGGTACAGGTTGTGTCTACTTTGTTCTCCCTTCTTCCCTCTCCTCATTCAACTGTAATCAGATCTTTATAATCCCTGAAAACTATTCACCTGCAGTCACTTTACAGCTTACCTGGTTATTTGCAGGCTTGTACTTCAGTCCTGGCTTGTTCAAGATTCTTTTAATCTGCTCACGGTTGAAGTTGGAGATACCAATGGCTTTTACCAGGCCACAGTCCACCAGCTCTTCCATGGCCTAACAAAGTGGAGCCAAGTCAGCATCTAGTGTGCAAGGTATGACCTGAACACATTCATCCTGAATTTCTCCTTGTTTCTCTCCAAGGGGAACACAAAATAACTGTTTGGACTTGCCAGGTTTTTGATTCTCATGGGGAAAAGTGGGTACTGGTAGTATCTATGTCATGTCTTCTATCACACAGAAGCCCATAATCATTGTTGAGACTGAAATTACCAAGTTACACTCACTGAAAAAGACAACTCACTCTACTGTTGTCACAGCACTGGAGGGCTATGCCCTGGCAGGATGGCAGGACTACAACCTAGGTGTGTATTTCTGCAAAATCTGAGCAGCTGAAGTACCGTGTGAGAACTGTAGTGAAGAAAAATCATGTAGCTCTTGTCAAGTAAATATCTTTTTCTAAGCTCAATCTGGTCTGCAGCTCCACTGGAAGCGACTGTGCAGCTCAGTGCCTTGAGATGCTAATCCACAGTGAATAAAATAATAGCTTGATTAACCATTCACATTTCTAAAAGCTACCACATACTTTGAGTTCTTTCTGCACACGTGCATGAGCCATTCTGTGACTGCTGAGAACAGAGGACATGCCTGTTCCAGTGTGGCTGAGCTTACCTCCCATGTCTGTAGGATATCAGTGTTGCTGGGTATAGACATGCCTTTGTCATCTGTGGGGAACAGCTCCTCCCCTGCCTGTCAGTGACAAGAAAAATACCTGAAAATCTGTTGAGAAGTTTGCTTAACACCACAAAAGCTCACAACCATGATAAATTAAAATTTTATTGCAGACAAGAACACCAATTCTTATCTACTTTCAGTCTTTTCTTCCTGAGGAGCAGGAGGAATTTAAGGCATTTTTGCCAATGGCAACTGGACCCCTCAAAGCAGTGACTTGCCCAGACACCCAGGGGCAAACAAATGACTCACAACTACAACCTCAAGTCTCACATATGGCTCCAACCTAAGCCATTCTATGATTAGTTCACTTCATGTACTGTTCTTCCCTGCCCACTTAGGAAGAACTGCTTTGCTTGTTTTTCACAAGGGCATCAGGGGAGCTGGTTACATACTGGGAACAGGCAGCTTTGGTCTATGCAAAACCAAATCTGCTGAAAAGAGGTGTTATGTGCAGTGAGACTTCTTCCATGACAGAGCTCAGCGTAAAGCTACTAATTCTGGGAAAATTAGAAAAGCCTTTTGTACAAGTTATGAAAAGCCCCCAAGACTGAACTGTGTTTAACAGCTGTTTGCTGCTGTCACCATGAGACCATTTCATTTTCATGGCTTTGTTAACATAAAGCTAAAATAGATTATGAAATAAAGATCAACATCTCAAAAGCCACAGGTAGGATGAAGACTGATCAGACTGTAGCAGGCCAGGAAGGCTAAGAGTAGAAATAGTCAAACTAAACCATCAGTTCTTTAACTAATCTGTGAAAGAGTTTAGGTCCCCAACAAGTTTCACCTTTTGAATTCTTGTCACAGTGGGACAAAACTAAAGCTCCTACAGGCAAGGTCAGCTGAATCTGGGCTGTATTAAGGTCATGATTAATGAGAAAAAACAGAAAACAGCATGACTTCCTTTTGCTCTGTGATGCTGTGACACAGATGAGAATTTCCAGCAGGCAGCAAAGTGGAACCCTCCCTTCCCATAAGAGATAATTTTGAGATGAGCATAAACCAACTCATAGGAGAAAGGGGAGCAGCCTGTATCTTATACACCAGCCCCTAGTTTTCAGACCATCATTCCCAGGATCAAAGGGGCATGCACGCCGCAGTCTCAGGGGAAGAAATCAAAAGCCTGGGTCACGTGGCCAGAGTAAAGCCAGGCATGAGAGCAGACAAGAGTTCTTTCTCAGCCAGAGTAACTCTTGGGCTGTAAAGCCATATAGCTCCCCAAAAGCCACAGTCAGGAGAAACAAAGCCAAGGGTATTGTCCCTACTGTACCTTCAAACCAAAAGGCCAGTGGATGAGGTAGAGATCCAAGTAATCCAGTTTCAGGTCAGCAAGAGTCTTCTGGCAGGCTCCCTTCACCAGAGGCTTCTCATGAAACGTACACCACAGCTACAGAAAAAACATCAAGGCAGACTGTAACCTCCTGGGTTAAAGCTCTCAGGTGCTCTCCTGCACATGACAGAACTGCTCCATCTTCTTTGGAAGGTGATGTAGAATTAGGCCATCCTAATGCTCTTCAGATGCTGCTAGCTCTGTGGTGGGACTGGCCAGTGACACTAAAGGTGTTACCTGTCACCAGCAAACAAGAGGAAAAGGTACTAGGCAAACAAGAAGAAAAAAGAGGAGTTAAGGATCTGTGAAATATTGCCCAAGTTGACTGAGCCATTTGATATCTATTGGCACCCTTGAAGGAGGAGATAGACATATATTCTGCATCTAAATCCAGATGACCATCACTGAGGTAATGATTAGTTAAAGGTCTTGATATCAAGAGTTAGTCGTCCTTGAAGGAGAAGCATCATGGAAGATATATAAAATATAGGTACTTAAGAGATTGGTTAGTTCTCAGTAATTTTGAGTGGTCAGCTAAATGGTGAAAATGTTACCTCGGAGTGAAGCAGCTTCATTATAATACTAAAAACCACACCCACAGGGCAAGAGACCCCTGCCCAGGTGAAACCCCTGACTCCCAGAGCATTCCTAGTAGGAGTAAGTGTTGTGTAGTCATATGTAAATAACTAACCAATCACTGTCAGAGGGAAGTTAATGAAAATTTACTAACTGGTAATTTTGTTTATAAAACAAGCTCTGACAAGTGCCCCCTTGTTCTGGCTTTGTGGGGAAACCCCCCAGCACTCAAACCTGGGCAACTTAGTTCTCTCCTCTCTGTGTGTGAGATCGGCTCGGTGCTCAGCAGATACTGGACCTGGCTGGGGACAACAGCAGCAGAACGAGCAGTGGCAGCAGCACAGCTATTTAAGCAGGATAAAAACACAGTCCACTGGTTCCATTAGTTAAAAAATAATTTGTGCTACACCCTTTTACATGGTTTGCCTTGGCAGGTGGCCTTAAAATGAAGACATACCTGTCATTCCTGACCATAAAATTCCTGCATTGAATATAGTACGCAAAGCCAAGAAAACACAAAAAGGCCACAAAGAAGTGGTTGGCACCAGCCTTTACCAAGGTAAGAAGAAACCTCTTAATCCTGCTAAATGGCCTGTTTTTCTTAACAAGCATGAGGAAGAGAACCTACCAACCACACTTCTCTTGGGACATGTGCTGAGCAGATTACACTGTCCCAAGGTGCCCAGAAGCTCATCTTCCTCACATAGCAGAGACACACACCCCTCTGGCAGGACTGTGAGGCTGGCTGTGGGAACAAGCACCAGCCACCACCAGACTTGTTTCCCCTGCTGTGCTTTAGCAGTCAGCAAGGTGCCATTACCAAACTGGTTCTGTCTCTGTATCAGTCCGTGACAGTGATCTCAGACCCCTGCACCAAGGGTTTCTACCTTGCTTGGTGCTACCTGGCCCACTGCACCTTCTCCTGCTTCCCTTGTTTGGCATCAGTCATTCTGCAGATATGAGATGTAGGGCCAGGTTCCTCCTAATCCACCCCCAAGCACTTCTGGGTCTTCTCAGCAGAGTGGCAGATCACAACAGGGTGCTGACACCACATATCCTTCCCAACTCTCCATACAAAAGTGGGTGAAGCAGTAAGCTTCTATCAGGAGTATGGCGGCTTAACCCTGGCTAAGCAAGTGATGCTTAGCCACTCTAGCACCCTTCCTCCATTCCTCTCTTTCCTCCACAGAGCAAAAAGAGTGACTTGAATGATGTTGTGGAGTGATTCAGCTTCCAGCATGAAGTTCATCTCCAGTAGTTAAGCTTCCTACTGTGAAAATACTATAGAGGAAGGATTCCCCCACCCCTGCTCCAGGGTGAAAGATGATCAGATCGTTACCTTACTGACAATGAAGAGGTCTTCTCGTTCCACAACACCTTCCTTGATTTTCTGCTGGATCCCCTCCCCAACTTCCTTCTCATTCTGGTACACGTGGGCACAGTCAAGGTGTCGGTACCCAGCATCGATGGCTGCCATCACTGCTGTCTCCACCTTACCTGGGGGGGACTGAAGGGAAAAAAGGTATGAGACATCTTGATTTGGGATTCTCACATGCTGCTCCTTAGGTAGCTCGAGGGTAGATAAGCACACAGAGGCTTTAAGAGGAGCTTTTCCGCACGTCTCTCTCGGGCCCGTTCACACCGCAAGCACAGAAGCCCGAGCTCAGAGCCAGGCTGCAGACATTCCTCGTCACACCACTGCCAGGCCGGGCTCCCGGGACCCTCCGCAGTACTGAGGCCCCAACACCGGGGCCGTTCTCCAGGGCCGGGCCAAGGCCTCCTCACTTGTCCACGCCGCTGCTCAAAGAAGCCCTCGGCAGCTTCAGGGGGGCCCCGGCGCCCCGCGCCCCTGGGCAGAGCCCCGCAGCAGCGCGGGACGCG